TTGGCTTTGAACCATGATCCTCAGGTCTTAGCCTCCTGAGCAGCCAGCATTACAAGGCATGAGCCACTGGTGCTCAGCTCACCTTTGAAGTTCTAGAAAGAGAAGGAAAATCATAGGTTGATAAGATGGACTGGAATAAATACCTGGCCCTCGATTGTCTAGAGGATATCATTTGTCAAGAAGTATGGAATGGTCACATATGGAGAATCATGTCCCATGTCAGTTATCACATCCCCCTGTAGTTTAGAGCTAATTCCCACATATCAGAAGAACATGGGCCATTTGTCTCTCTGAGCTTGGCTTACCTCATCACACAGTTTGTTCTAGGTCCATCCAGTTCCCTGTTCTTTCTACTGGCTGTGTAAAATGCCCTTGTGTGTAGGTACCACAGCTTTGGATCCACTCCTTCATTTGTGCGTCTGGGCGGTTTCCACATCTTGGCTATTGTGATTAGCGTGTCAATGGACATGGACGGGCAGCTGTCCTCATATCCTGGCTCCTGATGTCAGGGTCAGTGCCCAGGAGGGCTATGGCTGGGTCTAGGGAGGCTCTGTCTTTCAACAAATATGTAATGGTCACATATGGAGAACTTATGTCACACACACCCCCCCCCCCGCTCACACAGACACACACAGACACACAGACACACACACACAGACACAGACACACTGAGGGGGGACGTGCATCTGGGCTGATTCTATACCTTAACCTGATGACTCCAAAGCATCCTGGTTTGTAATCTTCTGGATACATTGCCAGGAGTGGAATTGCTGGACTACAGAACAGTTTAATGTTAATTTTCTTTAATATTTACAATGTTTTTGAAAAGTTCATATACAGAGGAGTTACAGTTATCGAAGTCAGGTGATGAGGACATTTCCATTTGAACAGTGTCACACATTCCCTCATTTCCACAGTTTTTCTCCTGACTCTCTTTCCTTCCCCCACAAAGTGGAGATGATCTTGCTTCCTGCACACATCTCTGTCCACATGGACACAGAATGGATGCTTCCTAAACAAGTGAATACTTGGTCTGATTATCCACAAAAACTGTCCGGGGAAAGCCTCAGAACTCGCAAGTCTTCTTCCTAAAGCCTGTAGAGTTCACACACACAGGTTCTTGTTCAGGAAGTGAAGCTTGCTCTTCTCTGATCAGGATGTAATGGAGAAATAAACAAGGACCTGTTTGAGCAGGTGAGGGCGTCCGGGATGCAGGGAGCTCAGTCAGATTGCTGTGAGATCACCTGGGCCCAGACCCTCGTGCCCACGATGCGCATGCACAGTGACAGTGCTCATGACGGAGCCACAGGGACCCGGCCTCCATCCCAGACGGGACATCCACAGGACTCCAGAGCCATCGTGATGGAGGAAACCCCAGGACAGACGGGGCCCAGCAAGGTCAGTCTACATGCACATGGCCTGTTGTCTGTCCAGTCCAACCCAGACTCCTCATGTCTACTTCCACGTCCCCATGGAGGACAGCAAGAGGCCCTGGTCAGGGGACACTGAGGAGTCCACCACGTTTCCAGGGTACCATCGGCTGAGCTCCAGGGGTATGGCCAACCCCTATGTTTTATGGCTTGGGTCCCCAAGTACATTTTGAGGTAGGGCAAAGAGAAAAGGAGCTGAGAGTATGCGGGTTACTGAGGGGGAAAATGAATTAATGGAAGAATTCTGAAGCCCCATGCCCAGTGCTACAGGTGAGGGAGAAAGGCAGGGTTTGAGGCCTGTTAAGATTCCTGACTTAGTGAGCTGTGCTGTTTTTGTCTCTGTATCTGTCTCTGTATCTGTCTCTGTGTCTGTTACTGTCTGTCTCTCCTATATTGAACTCAGGGCCTCTTTTGTGAGGCTCAAACCTGCCAATTTAACCATGTTTCAACTTTTCAAATCTTACTTATTTTTCTGGTACTGTGCTGTGGTTTTTCCTGGGGCAGGTTCCAGACAGTGATTCCACACTTGCCTCCTGTGTAGCTGGAATCACAGGAAACAGCGGCCACATTAAGCTTATTGATTGAGATGAGGTCCTCAAAATCATATTTCTCTCCTCCTCCCAAGTCTCTAGGATTACAGACACCAGGCACCATGACAGGCGGTTTCCCTCTTGTTCACAGAACAAATTCTGACTCTGTGAATCCTGGGATCTTTGTCCTGAGTCTCATGGGGTCACCAGGGTCCCTGAGTTTCTTCAGGATCAAATACTGGTCCACACTGCAGAGCCATTTTTGCTTCCACCGTGATACTCTGTTCATTCTTAACAGTCCCAGCAAAGGACTGGAGACATCACAGAGGAGTGCGGGTCATGAACTCAGGAGAGATGCTGTCACACTGTGGACACAGAGGCAGGGCAGACAGCAGGAGAGCAGCCCTGGGCTCTGTGTGCAGCTGCTCCTGAGCTGACCCAGCTCCAAGCTGTGCCGAGCGCCCCCTGCTGGTGCTGAGCACCCTGCAGGGAGGTTTGTGTCTGGCCCACACTGGATTTCCTGCACTGTGTGTCTAGTACAGTAATATATGGCCGAGTCCTCCACTCTCAGGCTGTTCATCTGCAGGTAAAGTGTGCTCTTGCTGTTGTCTCTGGAGATGGTGAAGTGGTCCTTCACGGAGTCTGCATACTCTGTGTCACTACTATCACCACTGATATATGAGAGCCATTCAGGCCTCTTCCCTGGAGCCTGGCGGATCCAGTGCATGTAGTAATCACTGAAGTCCAATCCAGAGGCTGCACAGGAGAGTCTCAGGGACCCCCCAGGCTGCACCAAGTCTCCCCCAGACTCCACCAGTTGCACCTCACACTGCACACCTGCAAACACAGAGAATCCTGGTCAGCAATGTTCACACACATCCACTGTTCCTCACACTCATGTCCATTTGCACACTCAGTGTCCCTTGCTCCCCATAAATCACCTTTCAACAGAGCAACAAGGAGAACCCAGCGCAGCCCCAGCTCCATGGTGCTGGTCTGTGCTCAGTCACTGGTGGAATCAGCTCACAGAGCTCAGGTCAGGGCTGGGCTGGTTTTCATGGGCAGAGGGACGTCCTATTTGCATGTCCTCTGCTATAAAGCAGATCTGAGGCAGAAGTCTCAGCAGGGCATTGCACAGAGGAGATGCAGGTGGAAGACAGAGTTTTTTAGTTGAGTGGAGAAACTATTAATTGGCTTCAAGAAAAACCATTGATTGAATCTGAATTTCTTTAAGAAACTTTAACTCTGATTCTGTTAGTGAAGAATGCTGAGCCACTTGCTTTTCAAATATATTTCCCTTTTCCTTTTGTCTTGTTTGTTACTGTGTTTATATTTGGGATGGTAAGGGGTCACATATAAGCTGGAACAAGGAGGAACAAACACAATAGTGATACTCAGCAGACACTGTGGAAAATAAACTGGAAATCTTATGGGTGGGGACAGGAGGGAAGGACTGGGAGAGAGCAACAGAAGGGGAAAATGGCTCATACAGAACTGCACAGTTTGTACCTGATTCACCTAACTGTAACTGCTCTGTACAACAACTACACAAAAAACAATTTTAAAAAATTCAATAAAAAATTAAATAAAACATTTTGATCTTTAAGTCATTTTATAAAGTCATTGCCGTTCAGTGAGGCAGTTTATGAGTACACTGAGGCTTGATCAATGTCACACCTTTCAACATTCCTGCCTCCTCTCCAACCTCCTCTTCCCTCTCTCTAATTAGTGTTTAGGACATGTATGCTGACATCATTGAACAAAGCAGTTCATGGATACAAGGCATGTGGATCTGTGTCATTCCTTCCTCACCTTTCCCCTTTGACCCACCCTTAGCTCAGTGTTCTCAATTCTGTGGCATAGGCACTGTATTCTTGCCTGTGTTCTCCACATTGTCTCCTTCATCCTTCTAGCATTTGCCCCTCATCTCTCCACTCCCAGTACCCACTTTCTGGTGCTTACTTTGTTGGTCTTTGACTTAGTCTTTGTGAAGAGCTATACTCTTTGATCTCTCCATAGGGTCTATTGTATGTGTCTCCCAGTGAGACATATAACAACAGCAAGAGAGGACCATTAGCATCGTTGTTCTGGGAAGCAGGGATGAGCTGAACTCTCTGCTCTTATTGCACATGGAGCACTGCTCTCATCCACGCACATTGTGAGAAACCTGTCAGCCAGGAAGGTGGCCACGCCAGACCCAGGTCCCCACCGCCACATTGTCCCTCTTCCTAACTTGTCTCTGAAGAGCCTTTTCTCCAGGTCTTTACACAAACACAGAATTGATACTGTGGCATGGCAGCCTGGCTTTTGAGTGACCCAGGACTGGAAATACCCCCAGCAGATCAATGCCGCACATTAAAAGCCAAGCCTGTTAAAGTTTGCAGTGGAGGTGTTGTATGGATGGAAAGAAATTGCTCACTAATTCCTCTCTGGCAACCTGGGTGGATCTGAGTGGGAACAGCCCAGAGAGGATGACATTCCACCACAGAGGCAGCGTCTGCAGCAGGGTCTGTGGGAGGTTCTAGATCTCTTCCTGACGGCCAATCGCAGGAGCTCCCACCCACCCTGCACCTCCACAGCCCACGTGCTCCAGGAGGACCTGGCCCCAGCCGGTCCTCAGTCCCATGTGCACAGGCTCAGGACAGTGAGGTGATGCAGGTGAAATCCCAAGTGACGACTGTTTTTACACTCATCCATGTCCCCTTAGCTACAGATATCCCCTGAGCTTCCCGCCAGAGTCCATAGAGAGGAGGACAGGACAACAGGGCACGCAGCCTGGGGACACCAGTGAGTTCTTCCCAGGCATGCAGGAGCCAGGGCCACAGCCTCATTGACCTCCAGGTCCTGGTACTGGGCCTAGGGTCTAGAAACTGAATACAGGCCACGTGTGCAGGGGATTTAGCGTGAAGGACAGGTGTGGACAACACAGACAATTAAGAACTCATGAGTCCTTCTAGAATCAAGCAGTGACCATATCCAGAACTGTGGCTGAGAATCCTATCCAACCTAGTCATCTACAGACCCCAGGGCCACCTCCTCATCACACCTGCAGCTGATGGTGGCTCAGCTCCCTGCTGGCCGAGTCTGCTGCACCTGTGTGTCTGGGTGCCCACTGGCTCCTCTCACTGTGCCTTGCACAGTAATACAGGGTTGTATCCGCGGTTCTCAGGCTGCTCATTTGCAGGTACAGCGTGCTTTGACTGTTGTCTCTGGAGAGGGTGAACTGGCCCTTCACAGAGTCTGCGTACCATGTGCTACCACCATCTGTATTAATTTCTTCTACCCAGTCCAGTTCCTTCCCTGGAGCCTGGCAGATCCAGCTCATCCAGGAATTACTGAAGGTGAATCCAGAGGCTGTACAGGAGAGTCTCAGGGACCCCCCAGGCTGCACCAAGCCTCCCCCAGACTCCACCAGCTGCACTTCACACTGGGCACCTGCAAACACAGAGAATCCTGGTCAGCAATGGTCACACACATCCACGGTTCCTCCCACCCATGTCCATTTGCACACTCAGTATCCCTTGCTCCCCATTAGTCACCTTTCAACAGAGCAACAAGGAGAACCCAGCGCAGCCCCAGCTCCATGGTGCTGGTCTGTGCTCAGTCACTGGTGGAATCAGCTCACAGAGCTCAGGTCAGGGCTGGGCTGGTTTTCATGGGCAGAGGGACGTCCTATTTGAATGTCCTCTGCTACAAAGCAGCTCTGGGGGGAAGTCTAGAGATTGGGCTCCCAGAGCAGAGGTGACTGTGCTGGAGGAGTTTGGTGACAATGGTCACCTTGGAGACATCATGACGCACTGACCATGTGCTGTGGTTCACACTGAACCTGCAGGTCCTTGGGAGCCTGAGGCAGAATGTGAGAACACTGAGAGCTGTCTGGGGTGCAGAGGGACACACATGTCCTCTCACTCTGCCATTGTGCCTGGTGATCGTTCTGTCAGCATTTCTGATCACAAACAAAACACAAAGTACAGCACGCCTGTGACCTCCTTGTGCACACGCAAGAGTGTATAACAATGGTGAATTGTTTTCACACTGGCAGCGTCTCCCGTGGTATGAGCTCCATGCCTGGTCTGGGCCTGCACAGCCAAGGAGGGCCCACAGTTTCTGGTGTGTTCCAGGAGAATGGTGCTCATCTGTGAGCTCACAGAGCCTCCTTCCTGAGCCGAGATCAGGTGTGGCCTTGCCGCATTTTACTTCATTCTGACCACCAACCAGGATGACCAGAGTTCAGGCAGAGGCTTGATAGTGGGCTCTGGTGTATTATTTGTTATAATCTATTTTTCTCTTTCATATATATTTAGTATTTGTGACGAAATCATGTCTATTGTGAACTTGTAATAACCTCAGTGAGTCACACTCATAACAAAACATAGGTAAATGAGTATTTGGTAACTATCAACAAGTGACTAGTGTCTTCTTCAAATTGTTTTATTAACCTTTTGATAGTTTCCTTGCATCAGTCTTTCGATTCATTGGTTACAGTGATTCCTAGTGCTGGCCAAGATGGTGAGCTGAATGTGAACAACACTTTTGTCCATGAACAAGAATCCACTGACACAAAGCTGAGCAGATTCTGAGGAAGAGAGGAAAGGAGCAGCGACAGGGAGTTCCTGGGGACCCAGGACATGGCAGAGAAGCAGTCAGGG